TTTCTGTCAAGTGGAAGGATGGAAATGTATGATCAAATATGACATCAACCTTACAACCTAACGCGTTTTTTAAACGTGTTAGGTTGTAAGGCGTTTTACCTTAATACCTAGCCTTGACATCTCTTCGGCTGCCGTCTCTTTGTTTGACGAGTGCATGAACCAGTGCTCACTTGAAGGAACAGCTCAGCATCTGCTGACGTATGGACGCTCACGTGCTGTCGGAACTCAGTGAACAGTCGACTTACATCTCGAATCTGCAGTAAAAAGTGAACAGCAGTTACCACCAACCAGACAGAAAACAGAAAAGACAGACAGTTCAAGAGAAAATGAATCCAACACAATGTGGACTTTGCATCCGTCAGTGGTGTTTGTGACAGAGACTATGCCCACCGCGTACAAAACGACACAACGCTTAGGGTCACTTAGGTAAATTAAGTCAAGTGGCTTCTGGTACTATACCGACACCGATCAGTGTGCGTTCTGTTCTACGTTCCATCCCGACAAAGAAGACCAACAAAGATGATGGGCGTGGGTCGCTGCTCTACTGCTTCGGTTCAAGAAATCCTGGTCTGGTTTGTTGAAACAGCGCCGATGTGCGCGACTGTGGGAGTCATCCGTGCACCGCCGGAGGCGGCTGAGGACCGCGACGCGTCTGGTGGGACCGCGCCTCACCCGGTCGGGTCAGGGGGTCGACCTGATCGGTTCCCCGAGTCTCAGGCACGTCGCTGTGCACTCTCATGACTCACTTACGGGTCACGCGTGAGGTGAAACGTGTCGGACAGTGGGTGCAGGGATGTCGGTGGGGGTAGTCACACACCTTCGCTACCCCGCGGTAGCGAAGGTGTCTGATTCATAAATCTGACAATATCTCGGAATAATGATCGGTCATACTGGCATTTAGTGTTTTAGACTTGCAAGGAAAACGGATGACTGAAGAATGAAGATCACAGTGATTCGTTCTGACAATATCACATTCATATCCGACAATATCTCGGAATAATGATCGGCCATTCTGGCCTTTGGTGTTTTAGACTTGCAAGGAAAACGGATGACTGAAGAATGGGAATCACAGTGATTCATGTTGTGAAATGATCCAATCCGGCTGACGTGAATTAGGCCCATACGCTGCACATCCATTCTCAATCGCTTGATCAATAAGAAAGCAGTTTGCCGATCACAGAATACAGCTAAAAATGCATCGAAACGTTTTGACGGGTCTCTCGTAACTCACGCCCATGCATGAACCCAACAACGCATCGGCTGGATAATCGACGCCACCATCCCCATCCAGCACCACCTCGTCTCCGAGGTCGACGGGCTGGACACCGCGGGCGCGGAAACAGGTCGGCGGGGCCGGCGCCGGCCCGGCGGCCCCTCCCGCCGCGCCGAGCCGCCGCCGCCGCCGGCGCCGCGGCCCCGTCGGTGGCGACGCGGCCCGCTGCCGACGGCCAACGCCGGCGTCGACTTTCACACCGGCCGCGCCGCCAATTAGGGACGTGGCGCCGGATCGTCGGGGGAACGGCTGAGTTATGGAGCCGCTTATTAATGAGCACGGTCGCCCGCGGTTTCATTGGTTTAATGCGGCCATACCTGGTCGCCAGATGCTTGAAAGCGCGCGACAGCAACGGAAATATGCAATTAAGGAAGACGTGCAGGGAAGGGATGACCCGCTGCGTTTTAAGGCAGACGTGCAGGGAAGGGATGACCCGCTGCGTTTTAAGGAAGACGTGCAGGGAAGGGATGATCCGCTGCGTTTTAAGGAAGACGTGCAGGGAAGGAATGACCCGCTGCGTTTTAAGGCTGCGTTTTGCGAGGACTGAGAGAGCATATGGCTCTGAAAAACGAAATGTGGATATGTGTTTTGCAGCTCTCTGGTGCTTGCAATTCTGTTCATTTTACCATTTGTTGCTCTATAACGCTGTCGATGCTTTTCTGGCCAATACGTGGTATGCGTACTTTGAGTAAATCAAGCGACTCCATATCGAGTTGCAATGTCAAATCTCTTCGCGGCTTAAACGGATTGCAAGCGGCCGTTCAGGCAAGTCGATAGAAGCACGATGAGCCACAATGTATATTGCGCATTAAGAACCAAAACACACAAATGATGACCTGATAACAAACCGAAATTGTCGAAAAACGCTCCAACGTCCGATCGCCATCAGCCTGTGCCACTGCCGTAGCTATGGCTGCGTGTGTCAAGCATCCAGACCGAGCTGCTTACCAGGATCATCCAGACCGAGCCGCTTACCAGACTCATCCAGACCGAGCTGCTTGCCAGGCTCACGCTGAACGCCCCCCCCCCCCCCGTCAAAACGAGTTTCAAACTATCAGTCTGCTCGCAGGGCTTTCCGTGGCGCTCTGCGGGCGCACGAACTGTTATATTGGACCAACTGAGTTCATGTTCACGCTTATAGTGTACAGCGCAGCCGTACTAATGCAAGTGGAAGGACGTCGAATGCTTCGGACCTGCCCTGAGCAAAACGCCAATCCCTAGACGTTGATTCATAAATGCGGTGCTACACACCGTGGATACGCAGCATCTGCAAATCATTTATTTTGACATTCGAACCTTACTGGCTATTAGTAATGTTCTGACCATTTCATACGAGCGCTCTTTGCTCCGCGCACTCACAAGCATTTGAGTACTTAAGTCCCAGCTCCTCACATAAGTCATGGAACAGTCCACTCATCGTTCAACAGCTAATGCACACTAACGGTCTAGGCGTATAATTAACGTGCAGTGCTACTGTTATTTCGTTTAAGTTATTTCACAAGCATATCATTTGGTTTCATAACATTCTTCGCAGCTGCAATTATTGCCATAACACACAGTAATCACTGTGATCAGCAATATCCTGCAAGGCTGTGCGGACCACTGTGCCGTGGTGCGTTTGGCGCTTCCTGGCGCTCGAGAGACCGCTGGGCGGTCGGTGACTGTCTGAGGCGCCCGCAAGCGGACCGGGCCGTGTGCGAGGCGTCCAGGTCACTCTGACCGTGCCGTCGGGGCTCGATCAGCCTCGGCGTACTCCGATCCCGAGTCTGCGATCGAGGCGGAGCGCGATGGCGGGGAGCCGGCGCAGCTGGTCGGCGTGCGTGGTGCCGGATGGGCACGGCCAGGGGTGTGACCGTGGGCGGCGGCCCGCACCGCGCCCGCGCCGGTCCGACCCTACCGGGAAAAAGGCGCAGGAAAGCCGGCGCTGCGGCGCGCTGTGCTGGCTGCGATGGGCCTGTGCACCCGCCGAGCGGGCAGGTGCCGAGCCGCTGAGGTCACGCAGACGCGTCACGGAGAGCGGCGGCGACGGCGGCGGCGGCGGCGACACGCACTCAGCCGCGTCCGCAGCCTCAGCGCTGCAAACTGCAACTGGCAGGGAGTCTTGCCCAGCAATGTGTCTGTTATATACAGATGTCTAAGATGTGACAACATCGAGGAATACGTTCCGACAACCGTACGATGTAACCGATGACGCGCCGATCCCGTGTGTTGGAACCGTCCTCTCTAACACGTCCGAGTATTCCGGCCTGGTAGAAGAAACGGGGTGCCCAAAGGTTTGTGAGGAAAGCGCGGGGAATTTTGACGCTTGATGTCGCTGTTGCTGGTGAGGCCACACACCGTCCAATGAAAGTGTTATGGCGCAGTGCGCGGAAGATGACATGTCCTGGGTTATGCTTAAGTGGAATAACCTCTTCTAGATCCTACTCAATAAAAGTCTTCCCGGAGCATGACTGGCGCAAATGAGCTCGTTAAACAAGACGACGCTGATCTTAAGACTGTATTTCGGGTTTAAAATTTGCGAATCCTTCGGAAATCATGCAAGAAATTACAGTACCATTCAATTCCACCTGAATATCTCGTGCCACGAGCCATGTTTGTGAATTAAAAAAGTTTGCTGCTGTTGCAGGTTGGCGTGGCTGTCGCTGCTGATAGCCTGACACATGCTTTTAAAGCAATCTAGACATGCACGTTGCGCGCCTTATATCACGTTTGCCATCATAAGCAGCAGCCTCTGCGTGGTCCGACCGTTAGCCCGGTTAGGTTTCAAAAAGTGCCGTAGCTTTTTTCATGGCACACTCTACAGATAGCTGGAGGATAAGACCGCGAGTAGGTACAATAGCGTGCTGCGAAACCTGGAGGTTATAATACCCTGTATAGGGCACGAGACGCGGCGAGCCATTCCTTTGGAGCCATCTGCTAAACAGCTATGCACATTTTCGTACACCAGCTCGTCTATAAAAGATGGCCGCCATAAGTAGACGCTAAGATGAATGGCAGTTACCCAATGCTATATAACAAGGCAAAGGAGCCAGACCGAAAAAAATACGGCCAATTGTGCACGAAGCCTATAATTACGTCTGTGACTTATCATTAATTGAGCACCGATTAGCAAACAGCAGCCATATCAAGAATGTGAGAGTTGAAGTCATTTAACTTTTGGATCTCTAACTACGGCGGATTTGGGGGCCAATAGGTTCTGATGACCCTTTACCAGCACGCTGCTGTCCTTCTCATATTAGTCGCGAGACCTTTCATGCCAAAGATGTCAAACAAACAGTTATTCCTACGTCATGTTGAAGCGCCTAGAGCACGCTGCAGCCTTTGGGAATGCGATTGTTTTTTGATCTTCCAACTTGGCTCCACAACTTCGCCTCCCCTCAGGGCCATCATGTGTGTTCCAACTGATGGTGATGGGGTCCCACGGTCCCACCCTGTGCACCGCTCGTAATGAACAATCGTTTGCTGTGTTGCTGTCGTGCGTGATAACCTGACGGACCCATATACATTGAACTTTGTGAAGCAAGTCAATATAATTGTGTCCAAAACCGAATTATTTTGGTGAATTTGAGTTCGCAGTGGTCGCGTTCCCGCCCGCGCTGTTTCGCGCCAAGCTTCGTTGACGTCGCTGGGGGGACTCTCATTTTTGGATGCTTACGCTACCAGGGCGGTAGGGTTTCTCTGCAGGAAGTTTTCAGATGACAGTGCGGATACTGTATGCGGCGTCGGCATGAGTAATGCGATGAAATATAGGAAATATTGCCTGCAAAAACGACAAAGCGTTTG